TGCCAGGAACTAGAGTGCTTGAAGGAGCTGCAGATGGATTGGCAGCCATAAATCCTTCAAATAGATAAAAACCCTCGGAGGCTCTGTGATTTCTATGATGGCTGTGCTCTTAATCTGTTGTCTTTGTGTAGTCTGCAGATGCGGATCCCTACTCCTGCGAGAAGCAGCTCACTGTGATAAAGCTGCCTTTGCTTTTATTGCCCTGCAAAAACAAGAAGGGGGACATGCTGGGAACAGGCCCCATAAATCTGGCCATTAACAGGCCATAAACAAAATCTCTGCAGCACTGTGACATGCTTGTGATGCCTATGACTCCCATGCTGCAGGTTGTTGGTTTACTGGAATGAGGGCAAGGAACACCTGGCCCACCCAGGGCAGAAAACTGCTCAAAGCCTTCCTAAACCACAAACAATAGCATGAGTGATCTGTGCCTGAGTGATCTTAGAACAGCTAAGGACATGTTCCTGCTGCAGATAACAAGCCAGAGTCTGTCCCTTTGTTTCCCATAAGAAGTGCTTTTAGTTAATCTATAATCTTTTTTTTTTTTTTTTTTTGAGATGGGGTTTCTTTTTCTCCCGGGGATGGAGTGCAGTGGCTGGATCTCAGCTCACTGCAAGCTCCGCCTCCCGGGTTTACGCCATTCTCCTGCCTCAGCCTCCCCAGTAGCTGGGACTACAGGCGCCCGCCACCTCGCCTGGCTAGTTTTTTTGTATTTTTTAGTAGAGACGGGGTTTCACCGGGTTAGCCAGGATGGTCTTGATCTCCTGACCTCGTGATCCGCCCGTCTCGGCCTCCCAAAGTGCTGGGATTACAGGCTTGAGCCACCGCGCCTGGCCAGCTAATCTATAATCTATAGAAATAATGCTTATCACTGGCTTGCTGTCAATAAATATGTGGGTCAAACTGTTTGTGTCCCTCAGCTCTGAAGGCTGTCAGCCCCTTGATCCCACACTGCACTCTATTTCTGTGTCTTTTGTCTTCATTCCTCTAGCACTGCTGGGTTAGGGTCTCCATGACCGAGCTGGTCTTGGCATCATGTTCTGGAAACTATGAGAAAGGGAAGTATAGCCATTGTCAGTTTAGTAAAAACTGTTTTCACATTAGAAAAAAACACGGCTTTGAATTGTGGTTGAAGTAAAGGAATGATTTCAAGACTGCACTGTGCAGCGTAAGTTAGCATTGTAGGATAACTAGGGGAGAGGACACTTTGCACCAGACTTGAGCACAAACATCCGAGACAAATTAGTATGGAAGACTGAAGTACGAGAAAACTCTTGATTAACAGTGTATTTAGGTGTAGTGAAACTGGAAGACTGTGAATATTTGTTTTTTGTGTGTGACAATTTAAAAAAGAAATACAAATTGAATGCTGAGGCTGGTTCAACACCTTTCCTTGCATAACCTTCAAGTTCTAAAATGTGATCATCAAAACAGCTTTATAATTAACTTTCTTCTTTTGACACTTTGGACTTCAGGTACAGAATATTGGATTAATCATAATCCTTGGTTCCAGACACTCTCAGCATTGGTTCATACATGGCCTCTTTTAGTTTTCTAATATAAGCATCCTGACTCTAGTAACACCAAAAAAGCTGGAGCTTTGACCATATAATACCACTTACTAGCGCATCCCTTGCCACCTCTCATCTAAGGGCATTTTTCTGAATTTTTTCATCATCACCATCCTGCTTTTTACATAAAATCTATCTACTGGCCGGACACGGCAGCTCACACCTGTAATCCCAGCACTTTGAGAGGCCGAGGCAGGCAGATCACCTGAGGTCGGGAGTTCGAGACCAGCCTGACCAATGTGGTGAAACCCCATCTCTACTAAAAATACAAAATTAGCCGGGCGTGGTGGCGGGTGCCTGTAGTCCCAGCTACTCAGGAGGCTGAGGCAGGAGAATCACTTGAACCTAGGAGGCGGAGGTTGCAGTGAGCCAAGATTGTGCCATTGCACTCCAGCCTGGGCAACAAGAGCAAAACTCCATTTAAAAAAAAAAAAATCTATTACATGCAAATGTATTTTGAAGTGAGCATATTTCATATTTTGAGACCAGTTTTGCTTACTATACTGTACTTCTTCCTGTATTTCTAAAACTTACTATACTTGAAGACTTTTTTGCATAATATGCTTCTATTTTGTTGTATCACTATGGATCAGTTTTGGTTACTGTGTATTATTCCAGTGTATGAATATATCACATTATATTCATCCACTCTTTTTCAGTGGGGATTTGAAGACTTGTTTCTGGGATTTTGCTTTTGTAAACAGCACTATAGAACTTCGTGTAGTGGTCCCCCATTTATCTTTTTTTTTTTTTTCTGAGATGGAGTCTCACTCCGTCGCCCAGGTTAGAGTGCAGTGGTGCAATCTCGGCTCACTGCAATCTCCGCCTCTTGGGTTCACACGACTCTCCTGCCTCAGCCTCCCCAGTAGCTGGGATTACAGGCACCCACCACAGTGCCTGGCTGATTTTTGTATTTTTAGTAGAAACGAGATTTTACCATTTTGGCCAGGCCAGTCTCGAACTCCTGACCTCCTGATCCACCCACCTTGTCCTCCCAAAGTGCTGGGATTACAGGCTTGAGCCACCGCTCTGGGCTGTGGTCCCCCATTTATCTATGTGCCAGTTTTTCTTGGGTATGCACTTGGGAGTGCAATTTCTGGACTATTAGGTATGTAAAAATTCCACTTTAAAAGGTAATATGAAACTTTGTCAAGGATTGAACCACCTTCCACTAACACCAGCAACGCAAGAGAACATGCAGAAATCTGCCAACACTATATATTGACAGATTTTTAATTTTTTGATACTTGAATGGGTATAAAATGGTATCTCATTGTAGTCTTCATTTGCAGTGGAACTTCTCCCACCTTGTAACTTGTCTGTTCACATTCTTTGAAGATACTTTAATGCATTTCAGAGAATAAAATATCCTTTTCTTTTAAAAGACAAATTCATTAATAATACATTTATAGTATGCTTTGTGCCTTGAGAATTTCTTTTTTTGAGATGGAGTCTTGCTCTGTCACCCAGGCTGGAGTGCAGTGGTGCGGTATTGGCTCACCGCAACCTCTGCCTCCGGATTCAAGCGATTCTCCTGCCTCAGTCTCCCAAGTAGTAGAGATTACAGGCATGTGCCACTGCGCTTGGCTAATTTTTTTATTTTTTAGTAGAGACAGGGTTTCACCATGTTGGCCAGGTCTTGAACTAGTGATCTGCTCACCTCGGCCTCCAAATGATGGGATTACCGTTAGCCACTGTGTCTGGCCAAGAAGTCTCTCTATCCTAAGATGTAACAGGCAGTCACCTTTTTTCTCTGAGAGTTTTCAAGTTTTGTTTCACATTGAAGTACTTAACTTTTTCCTATGGCATAACAGGATTTTTCCTTTTCCGTACAGAAAACCATTTCTTCTAGCTCTAATTATCGAACAGTCTCCTTTCCTGAATGTAATATGCCACCTCTCTCTTTCCAAAGTTCAGTCCATGCACGGGCAATCTATTCAATTCGGATATCTGTCTGTTCCCATCAGCTAGTAATATGCTATTTTAACAAACAAGCCTTCACAGTGAGTCCTGACATTTAGCAGGACAAGTCACTGTCTCCCTGCTCTTTTCTGAAGTGTTCTAGCCTTTTGCTCTTTTTAACTTTTACTTTTAGAATCAACTAAACAAGCTCCACGAAAAAAAACAAGTGGAATTTTGATTGGTATTACCTTGAATCTATGCCTATTGAGGGACAAATGACATTTTTTGATACTGTCTTCCTATCCACTAACATCTATTTACTGAGTTCTTATCCCTTAATGTTTTAGAAATCTTTCTTGACGAGGCCATCAACATATATTGTCAATTTCCTAGGTAACCAAGATTCTGATATTATTGTCAAATGGTGTTTCCTGGTTTTCTAGGTAACTGGTGTAAAGAAATGCAACTGTCTTCTAAAAACTAATGTTGTATCTAGCTACCTAACTAAACCCTATTATTTCTAGTAATTTCATGATTTTTCTATAAAAACAATAATGTGCAAATAAGTGCTACCTCTTTTCTTATCATTTTTCTTGATTTCCTGACCTTGTGATCCACCTGCCTCGGCCTCCCAAAGTGCTGGGATTACAGGCATGAGCCACCGCGCCCGGCCTCTTATCATTTTTCTATCTTGTCTTGCTCCACTGATTATAATCTCCAACACAATTTTGAATAGTAAGCAGTAATAGTGGGCAGTCATCTTTGTTTCTGACTTTAAAAGGAAGTTCCTCTTTTTAATTGATGCTTGCTTTTGCATTCATTTGGCTAGTTTATTTCACACAGAACTATCAGCTTAAGGAAATTCCTTTCTAGTCTTAATTTATCAAGTTTAATTTTTCTTATGACGAATGGGTGTTAAATTCTATTACTTTACCTGAATCTATTAAGATAGTTGTAACAGTTTATTCTCTTTATAATCTGTTAATGTGATCAATTTACAGATTTTGATAATTAAACCATTGTTTATTTAAACAGAACACGCCAATAATTTTAAACTGAGAAATTTATATTGTAAAATTATTGCCTTCATCTGTTTCATATGACATTTCATGTTTAAAAATGTTTGGCTACCAGACACATTTGAAAACCATGGGACAAATGATCTTTCACAGGGTCTTTCTACTCCGCAATTCTACAACTGCCCTGCAGCTTGAATTATACTCTTAAAATTTCTCTAATCCTACAAGAAAAAGCTTCTATTAGATGTTAATTCAGTATGACAGTGTAGAAAAGGGAATCAGACAAGGACTAAAAAATACATTTAAGTAACAGAGAGGAGTGTTTGCCTTTGAAGATATGCTGAGGTCTTCAATTCAGAGGAATACAAAATTACAATTTATGATCATTAGCTTAGTCACAAATAGATGTGAGACAAATAATGGCAGTTCTCTTACAAAATGAGGAAAGCAGAAAACTAAAAGACCAAGAAATAAAATTAACTACCAGAAAGAATAAGAGAAAAAGTAATACAAGGGAGCATTCTGGTTTTCCTTTTTATTTAATCAAAGACTGGTGAATAAACATAAATACAGCACAATTACTTCAGATCATTCTTCATATTGTATACACACAAACCCATGAACATAATCTGAAAGAAACCTGTAGACAGCAATGAAATGCATACAGCTTTTTCTTCCCTCGCTCAAAAAAAAGTTTAAACACACAAACTTAGAATCTCATCAGCACACACTCTCTTGTGACAAATGATTCAGACATAAATAGTGGGTGCAAAGAAACTATATGCTAACATACGAATAACCTTTGTTAATGAAAAAACAGAAGCAGCCATAATGATTAAGATACATTCAGTTACCGATAACTAGTTGTGCCATAAAGGGCATTATCAAAGGAGAAATCGTGCTGCAGAGAAAAGCGATATATACATACACAATGAGAAAATAAACTGCAAGATTAATGCATGCATGTTTAATACTGGAAAAATCACAGCCCTCCAAAATTTCTGCACATTTGTTATAAAAGCCCTCTGCACTCAACTAAAATTAAAATGATCTTAAAAGGATAATACTTGTAAAGTTTAAGTCTTCTCAGCCACAGAAATTGCAATGGAAATAAATGTTCAGAGTCATTTTCAAAACAAAACCAAAACAAAATCAAAACAAAAATCTATTCTTCCGATGACATGCAAGACACACTGCTCTACATTCCCAATGACTAGGAAAAAAAAAACCTCAAGTCAATTTTTAGTTTGCAGATGCTCAAGGATTTTGTATTCCAGCAGGAGTTCAAATCTTTTGGATCTTTTCGCCAACAACTACTGGATTTTCTTTTCTGATTTTCTCAGCAGCATCAGCTTTGTAATTGTAAGAGCAATTGTGTACATCTGAGTAACGGTGTACACCACAGTAAACATTTCCACACCGGCATTCAAACCCTGAAAATGGAGTAATACACATACATGAGTTGAAGGATGAAATATTAAGGTCTTCGGCATACTTAATACTGAGCAGCACAATATACTTAGGGCAGCAATGTAAACTAAAGAATCATTCTAAATACACTGTCTCACAAACTACATTCTTATTCACTACCTGAGAGCTTCATTTCTTGTTCCTATCTACAAACGTAGGTTTGCCCTAGAGCAAGTCTCCTCTGAGCTGGTTTCTTCACCTGTGATATGGCAACAATTACTTCTTAACAAAAACACAGTTGCTAGGTTGAAAATGTAAAACATTTTTCAAATCCAGACACTACAATGTGAGAATAAGCCTACTGTCAGAAGGCAGTCTTGGCATTCATTTAAGAAAGATCAAATAATGCTTCTGAAAGAACTGTTAACAAAGAACACTGCTTCAATATTTGCTTTACTCTGCTAACCTCCAATGGAGATGTGAACTGTACTGCAGTTGAGAAGTAAAGAGCATGGGATCTAGAATCTGACTGCCTCAGTGTGAATCTACTGACTAATAATGAAGGCAAATTTGCCTCTCTGAGCCTGAGTTTCTGCATCTGTAATTTTGGAATAATAATAAGTAAGGATTAAATGAGGAATGAATTTAATGCTGTGAACATATGGTAAAACACACAATAAATGCTACTTTATTTTAAGAAAATGCCTGGAGTTAAAGCCAAAATCAAGATGTAATGGGTGCGGCCAGTCTTTATATAAAACTGGTCCTGCTCCCCCAAATTAGAATTTTATGGTATGATACAATTGTTGGAAATGGAGCACAGGAATCAATATTTTAAACACTAATATTTGATGTTAACTTCCATTGCTACATTTTTAACTTCAAAGACATATTTGTAACTTAATAATGAATTTAAAATAAAGCAAACAACACCGTATTAGACTGACAGATTGGACAAGATGAAAATTACTAAATCTCACCCTTCTAATCATGAAGTCTGAGGGTTTGTGAGATTTACAAAGGCTTTTTTTTTTTTCTTTTTGTTTTTGAGACAGAGTCTCACTTTGTCGCCAGGCTGGAGTGCAGTGGCACGATCTCGGCTCACCACAATCTCCGCCTCCTGGGTTGAAGTCATTCTCCTGCCTCAGCCTCCCGAGTAGCTGGGATTACAGGTGCACGCCACCACACCCAGCTAATTTTTGTAATTTTAGTAGAGACTGGGTTTCACCATGTTGGCCAGGATGGTCTAGGTCTCCTGACCTTGTGATCCGCCTGCCTCAGCCTCCCGAAGTACTGGCATTACAGGCGTGAGCCACTGTGTCCAGCCCTAGAAAGGCTATCTTTAATATTAAATACATATATTTTTAAATGTCTTATATGTATATATAGTATATATATATTTGCTTATATATATATTGCTTCTCTGGGGGCTATATATATACACACACACACTTTTTTTTTTTTTGACACAGGGTCTCACTCTGTCACTCAGGCTAGTATGAAGTGGTGCAATCATAGCTCACTGCAGCCTCGATCTCCTGGGCTCAAGCAATCCTCCCATCTCAGCCTTCTGAGTAGCTGGGACTACAGGTACATGCCATAATGCTCAGCTAATTTTTAAAATTTTTTTGTAGAGACTGAGTCTATGTAGTCCAGGCTGGTCTTGAACTCCTGGCCTCAGGTGATCCTCCCACCTTGGCCTCCCAGTGCTGGGAATACAGGTGTGAGCCACTGCACTGGGCCATATTTGTATTCTTTAAATACACATGTGCTAAGGTATGGGTAAATTTGAAACATCTTTTTAAATTTTCTCTTTTAAAGATGAGGTCTCATTATGTTGCCCAGGCTGAGCCCGAATTCCTGGCCTCAAGCAATCCTCTCACCTTGGCCTCCCAAAGTGCTGGGATTATAGGAGTGAGCCACTATGCCTGATCTTGAAGTATCTTTGATATTAAACTCTAACTTCCTTTCTTTTTCATCTCCAACCCATTCCTTAACCAGAAATAATCTTCTAAAGCAAAGCTCCGCTCAAAATCTTACCTACTGTTTTCTGTAAGTTCAATTTTTATGCAAAGTATTCAGCACAATGCCTGGCACATGGTCAACAATACATTTTAACTATCCATAGCTGCAACTACTTTCCAACTAACCACAGTACCGCTGATCCTTGAAGGATGCGAGGTTTAGGCATGCAGACCCCCCTACAAGTCAAAAATCCATGTATAATTTTATGTTTCCCCAAAACTTGAGCTATTAATAGCCTATTAACCAGAAGCTTTACTGGTAACATAAAGTCGACTAACACATATTTTGTGTTATATGTTTGTATGTTATATTATTAATATATAATATATTCTAATAATAGAGTAAGCTAGAGAAAAGGAAATGTTATTAAGAAAATCACGAGGAGAAAATATATTTACTATTCATTAAGTGAAAGTCGATCATCATAAAAGACTTCATCCTTGTCTTCACATTGAACAGGTAGAAGAGGAGTTGGTCTTGCTGTCTCAGGGTTAGCAGAAGTGGAGAAGGTAAAAGGGGAGGCTGGAGACGCAGACATACTTGGTGTAACTTTATGGAAATACAATGTAATTTCTGACTTTTCTGCTTTTTTGTTTCTCCAAAAATGTTTCTACATGGTACCGACATCCTTTTTCCACCATTTGCTTTAGTTTTAGTTCTCATATCACCGAAGAGCCCATGTTGCAAAAGAAGTGAAAAGCAGTCTTGAATAATCAGACCCCTTCTGTCAGACTGTCTAGCGTCAATTTGTTTTCTGGCACTGCTTTTCCTATGTCTTCTTCCTCACTGTCTGGCAGTGGTTTGGAAGCAGCCATCTCCATCAAGTCATCTTCTGTTAATTCTTCTGGTTTGGTGTCTATTAGCTCCTGAATGTCTCCAAGATCCCTATCTTGAAATCCTTAACCCCCAACCTTTCTTGCCATATCCACAATCTCTACCATGATTTCCATACTGTGAAGTCACACACAACATCTGGACACAGTTTTCTCCTGCAAGAATTTGTTTCAGGCTTCATAACTTTCACATCTTTTTCTAAACAATAATGGTATCTTCAACGGTATGATGTTCCCTCTACTGGGGTTCTCTTCCATAGCACTGACAATCTTTTCCATAGAGTACCATGTGTAATGAGCCTGAAAGGTCTTTATGACCCCTGACATAGAGACTGAATTAGAGATGCTTCTCTGGGGGCAAGCATATCACTTCGACACCTTCAGTGCTGAACTCAGGAGGTTCTGGGTGGCTAGGGGCAACTGTCCAATATCAAAACAACTTTAGGCCAGGAGCTATGGCTCATGCCTGTAATCCCAGCACTTTGGGAGGCTGAGGTGGACGGATCACCTGAGATCAGGAGTTTGGGACCAGCTTGGCCAACAGGGTGAAACCCTGTCTCTACTAAAGATACAAAGAAATTAGTTGGGCATAGTGGAGTACGCCTGTAATCCCAACTACCAGGGAGGCTGAGGCATGAGAATCGCTTGAACCCAGGAGGAAGAGGTTGCAGTGAGCAGAGATTGCGCCACTGCACTCCAGCCTGGGCGACAAGAGTGAAACTCCATCTCAAAAACAAACAAAAAAAACAAAACAAAACCCAACAACTTTGAAAGGTAGTCCCTTACTGGCAAGGTACTTTCTGATTTCAGGGACAAAGCATTAATGTAACCAATTACGAGAAAGGGTTCATATTGTTTAGGTGTTCTTGTTGTATAACCAAAAGACTGGCCGCTGGTGTTTATCTTTTTCCCTTCAAGATAAGGGTTAGCAGCTTTATAGGTAAGGGCAGTCCTGATCATAAACCCAACTGCATTTGCGCAAAACAGTAGTTAGACTATCGGCCGGGCGCGGTGGCTCATGCCTGTAATCCCAGCACGTTGGGAGGCTGAGGCGGGTGGATCACCTGAGGTCAGAAGTTCGAGACCAGCCTGACCAACATGGTGAAACCCTGTCTCTACTAAAAATACACAAAATTAGCTGGGTGTGGTCGTAGGCACCTGTAATCCCAGCTACTTGGGAGGCTGAGGCAGGAGAATTGCTTGGACCTGGGAGGTGGAGGTTGCCGTGAGCCGAGATCACGCCACTGCACTCCAGCCTGGGTGACAGAGCGAGACTCCATCTCAAAAAAAAAAAAAAAACTATAGTAGTCAGACTATCTCTTCCTGCCTTAAGTCCTAGTATTCACTTTTCTTATTTATAAATGTCTTTGTGACCTTTTTCTTCCAGAATAGGGCACTTTTGTCTGCATTAAAAACTTGTCCAGGCAGATACTCTTTCTCCAACAACTTTATATAGTTTGGGAACTTTCTTAATGTAGTTTGGCAACCTGCTGCCTCTTTTTTGGCAGAAGCTGTTTCTCCTGTTATCTTGACTTTTTTTAAGCCAAACCTTTTTCTAAAATTACCAAACCAGCCAGGTGCGGCAGTTCCAGTCTATAATCCCAGCACTTTGGGAGGCTGAGGTGGGCGAATCACCTGAGGTCAGGAGTTTGAGACCAGCCTGGCCAATGTGGTGAAACCCTGTCTCTACTAAAGAAATGCAAAAATTAGCCAGGCATGGTGGCGCACAACCTGTAATCACAACTACTTGGGAGGGTGGGGCAGGAGAATTGCTTGAACCCAGGAGGCAGAGGTTGCAGTGAGCCAAGATAGTGCCACTGCACTCCAGTCTGGATGACAGAGCAAGACTCCACTTCAAAAAAAAAAAAAATCAAACTATCCTTTGCTGGCATTAAAGTCTCCAGTTTTAGAATCTAAAAGTTGTCACGTAATGACTTCACTTTTTCTTGAATCATAGTATGCCTTTCTTTATAGCAATCCTGCACCCACATAAAAGCTGCACTGTCAATACAAAATAAAAACGTATTGCATAAAAAAGTACAAGGTTTTTGTGCCTGCTGGCATAGCTGCAGAGACGGCTTCACAGATTTCCTTTTTTTTAAACAACAGTCCTTACACTGAATTTATTTATACTGAAATGGCAGACATCACTCATTTTTCTTGAAATGGCAGAATAGCAGCTGCAGACATTAATCTATAGTACATACCAAGCAATTCAACTTTTTCTTGTAATGTCAGACTTTTCTCTTCTTGTTGGGAGCACTTCCAGTATCAGTACTGACACTTTGTATGAGTCTTATGGTATTATTCAAAGTTTACAGTATGGTATTAAACACGATGAAAAATACATGAGAACCACAAGAGATTACCTTTTACTGTGGTAGGCAATTTACTACAGAGACAAACTGCTGAAACAGAGGTGATCAGTGACGATTAAAATGCATGGCATTTTAAGTGGATACTTGCAGCACCTGCACTCACTGCAATAGCAATAGGAGGTGGCTATGAAATTATTAGAGAAGTACAGTATATACTACAGTAACTTTTTGCCACTATCGCTTAATACTGCTTTACATTTGTTTACATTTCTTGACTGTGAATGGCTTCATGTATGATCTGCATTTGTATAAGCAAGTTTTGATAAACTTTTAATTTTTTTAACAGATTTGTGCATATTCTGTGGTAGCAAATGATAAAATACACAAGTATCTACACGTTTTACACATTCAAGACTTGTCTAACTTTTCTTAATAAAAACATATATTTCTAGGCTATACAGTTCATCTGTGAGTTTTTTCCAATTGCTGCAAATCTCCAAAAAATTTTCCAATATATTAGAAAAAACTGTAAGTGGACCCCTACAACAGTCCCATGTTGTTCAAGGGTCAACTGTGTATGTTTTTAGTCTTATTTCTTTATTCCTGTTGGATTGTAGTACACAACACTCTTGTTCACGTATTATGTGCTATTCAGCAACATTCCCCTATTTATGGTTCCTGCACATGCCCTATTCATTTTCTTCAAGTTATTCTTTCCGCCTGAAATGCCCCTATTTCCATCAGTTATAGGTCCTACTCACTGTTCAAGACACGCTGAAACATTCTGCCTTCATGATCCTTTCCTTGCTGGGTCTCTAAGAACCACCATTTTTAATTGTAAATTAGTTACTCTCATCCCTGAATTCCCAGAGCAATGTGACTGCACTTCATGTACTTTCTTTGCTAAATGCTTTTGAACAATTCTCCCGCCCACCACCATCTGCATCTGATAGCTATGTTACAGTAGCCAACATATATTGATTACTTACTGTGTGGCAGCACTGGGCTGGGCTAACTGCTTACATGTCTTAACTCACTGAACCCATACAACAATGTATGGTTAGCCCTATTTTATATACAGAAAGTACTTCCAGTTTACTAAGTACTTCAAAATATTCTCTCCTTGAAAGCAGGAGCCACATCTTTGACCTTTCACAGAATCTGGTACACTAACCTTACTTGTCTAATATTTCTAAATTCAACTGAAATAAACTTTAAAAAAAAAAAAAGCTATTCATTTCACTTTTAGGTGTATAATCAAAGCTATTTTTATTTCCTTAAGAAAATTCAGAAGCTGAAGTATAGCCAGTATTAGCTCTCAAGGGAACAGGAACAATCTTAATTGAAGTCAATAATAGTAAGCTATGCATTACTATAAAACAGTATCTTAATTTTAAACATTTGATTTAGGTCCTTACCAGTAAGTCCCACTTTCTTCCTGCACATGAAACAGCGATTCTTTTTTTGTTTTGGTTTTTCAAGAGACTTGCTTTGCTCTTCAGATGGCTGCTGTGCCGTGTCTGATACTGAAGCTGACAAAAATAGGAAGGTGGCAAAATTTAATTACTCTGTAAGATTTTGCTATTCCTCATCCCACCCTCCCTAGTCTATTATTCAGAGGATACTGAGGAATTAATTAGCACAGAAAACTAGTCATTTAATTACAAAGTTGTTTACAAAAATAGGACCCCTTTTTGTTAAATTTATGTATAGAAAATGCATAAATAATGTATTTCTATCTAGAAAATAATCTAGAACATGTAATGATATATTGACAGTGGTTTTATAGACTTTCTTCTTTAGGTTTTAACTGTATTTTCTAATTTTTCTAGTAACTACATATTTAATCCATAAAAGGCACATAAACAAATACTACTTGAATATTCTAAGGGAGTGTGCAAGAAAATAGCCATATGCATGGGTCAGAACGACATAGGTTTCTCAGAGAACAAGGAGGGAAAAGGTGAAACCAAGATTCTGTGGAATATTAAGTATGTTTAAAGTTCCCAGAATGTTTCACATAAAGCACTTTAAATGTTTGAAATAAGGCAAATTGAAGCAAAGAAGCTTTAAAATGTTGTAAGATAATAAGTTGATGCATTTATGTATGGAAACCAAAGCCAGATTTACCAAGATTCGGGTTAAATTACTACTCTGAAATCTTAACATGACTCCCTCCCGTTGCTAACCACTCTGGCCCTCAGACTCACTCTGCTGCGAGTCAGAATCATGTAATATGACCTTGCAGACATGTCATTTTGCTCTAAAATGGTGGAATTTGCCATGGATCAAATTCTTAACCTCTTCAGTTTCATCACCAGCCAGACTTTCCCCAGGAATCCACTCTCCATTAATCTACACTGGGAATATGCCATGTACCTTTGCTCACACTTCTTATAATCTATTCCAAAGGGTTTCCTTTTTTTCCCCCATTTGATCTAGGTCCTCTTCTTTTTCAAAATCAAGGTCAAATACCCTTTCCTTGTCTCAAGTCTCTGTAGCTTCTCACTCTGATTTTCCTTAACACCTTTTCCAAACACCGGGTACCTCACGAGTTCCCTCTTCAATCCATGCTTCACACATTGCACGCAATCATCTGCCTTAAGTGAAAATCTAATGGTGTTCCCTCTGATGTTTAGAATTCTTCAATGGCTCCCAACTTACTCCCAGGATAAAGCCCAGAGGTCTTTCATGATTTTCTTCATCCTTCTTTCTCTGGCCTCATCTCTCACTATTTCTCAACGGTACCCCATGATTTAGCCATACGGAAGTACTTGCAGTTTCCCTGGACATATCAAACTCTCTTTTGCCTCTGGGCTCTTGGGTAAGTTATGCTTTCCATACAAAATACTCTTTCTATGCCCCTTCTGTCCCTCTTTTTACCAGGCTAACTCTAACTTGTTTTTCTTGTTTAAGCTTATATAATCAGCTCTTCCTCCACTGCCTCTCCCACAACTTTGGGGTGGGAAACCCTACTACGTATAGCACTTTTCATATTAAAATTCCCTCACTGGCTCAACCTGGTTTAACTTTGAATTCTTTGAGGGGAGACATCTGTCCTATTTATCCCATTATCAGTGCCTATCCCAGTGTTTCCAACCACATAGCAGGCACTCAACAATAAGTATCTGTTGAACTGAATTACTTACCTATATGTGCCTCATTTCCCCAACTACACTGTAAGGCCGTTGAGAAGAAGGATGGTTACCTTATTCCCCATCTGAATCTCCAGTCCCATCACAGTGAACTACACATAATACATGCTCAGACATTTACTGTGATTCTAACCTGCTTATGTTAACATCACTATCTCATTTTTTTTTTGAGACGGAGTCTCGCTCTGTCGCCCAGGCTGGAGTGCAGTGGCCGGATCTCAGCTCACTGCAAGCTCCGCCTCCCGGGTTTACGCCATTCTCCTGCCTCAGCCTCCCGAGTAGCTGGGACTACGCCCGGCTAGTTTTTTGTATTTTTTAGTAGAGACGGGGTTTCACCGGGTTAGCCAGGATGGTCTCGATCTCCTGACCTCGTGATCCGCCCGTCTCGGCCTCCCAAAGTGCTGGGATTACAGGCTTGAGCCACCGCGCCCGGCCACTATCTCATATTTTAACAAAAGATGACAAAAGGCAAATACTACAAACAAGTAAATGTGTGCTAATGACAAACTCTATAGCATGTTACTCCACTCAGACATCCTGAAATCAGACAGGAGACAGTTCTAGTAATACCCTGTGAACATATTATTTTTGAAACAGAATACAGACACATCAAACCTTTTATTTTCAATGAATAAATATTCCTAGAATGTAAGCTCCAAGAGGGCAGGGGCTGAATGTCTTGTTTAATGTTTATCCCCAGCTCCTACAACAGTATCAGATAAGCCTATCTGGCTATACATACAGACTAAAAAACAGCTTAATTTGCAATCAGAAATGAAACTATTGTATTTATTGGTTTTGAAATATATAAGCCATAATATCTAACCTGTTCTCCAAAAACAGTCTGATATTCAAAAAGACCCATTTAATGGCAGTAACATTATCACAAGATTATAGTTTTAACAAAACTGGTTTAACTACTGAGACACAAATTTGAATGGGATCTGGAAATGGAGAAGTGAAAATACATCTATCTTCTACGCATACAAATGCCACTGCATATCTCAAAAGACATTTCACAGTTTTAACCCTAAAGCCCCAAAGGTGGCGAATGGTTTCTTTTTAACTGAGGCAAATGCACAGTCTTTAAAGTGAAGGATCGGAAGGCTATCTAAAAGCTTATATGCTACAGCTAAAATGTGGGACCGATAAATGTTGTTTATATACCCATGAGGCTAAGATAACCTCAGCTTACCTGAAACTAATAGCTGACAACCTGAATTTCAACAGTCACCAAATGAATTCACGGACAAGATGATATAATATTATTTTTAAAAGTCTATGATTCCCAGAAATTATCCAGTTTCCTCAGTTTTTATGTGAGTTTTAAGACCAAAGAATACCTTATCAAATTCCAAACAACCTTTCTAGCTTTAGTTTCAACATATAACTGCCTGAACTGACCACTTCAGCAACGGGTTTTTTCACTCTTTCTCAAATTTCATTTTTCCTACCTATATGCATTTGCACTCACAAGTTATCCTCCAGTAAAGCTGTCTTGGGGTGGTGGGGAGATATAATTTACACACCATAAAATTCACCCTTTAAAGTATACAATTCAGTGGTTTTTATTATATTCACAAGGTTATAAAACCATCACCACTATTTGGGAGGCCGAGACGGGCGGATCACGAGGTCAAGAGATCCTGGCTAACACGGTGAAACCCCGTCTCTACTAAAAAAAAAATACAAAAAACTAGCCGGGCGAGGTGGCGGGCGCCTGTAGTCCCAGCTACTCGGGAGGCTGAGGCAGGAGAATGGCGTAAACCCGAGAGGCGGAGCTTGCAGTGAGCTGAGATCCGGCCACTGCGCTCCAGCCTGGGCCGCGACAGAGCGAGACTCCGACTCAAAAAAAAAAACAAAAACAAAAACAAAAAAAACATCACCACTATCTAGTTTCAGAACATTTAAGTCACATTAAAGGAAAACTCTACTCATTAGCAATTACTCCCCACTTCCCACAGTTTCTGGCAACCACTAATCTTTCTGTATGACTAGCCTATTTTAGACATTCTATGTAAATAAAGTCATACAACATGTAGCCTTTTGTACTTAGCTTCTTTTATTCAGCATATTTTCAAGGATCATTCATGCTGTGGCATGTATCAGAATATCCTTCCTCTTTGTGGCTGAATATTCTACTGTATGGATATACCACATTTTTTTTTATCCAATCATCTACTTACAGCCACCTGAGTAGTTTCTATTTATTATGGATAATGCTGCTACGAACATTTGTGTACAAGTTTTTGTGTGGACATATGTTTTCAATTATCCTGGGAATCAAGAGCAAAATGCTGGGTCATATAACAATTCTTTTTAATTTTTTGTGGAGCTAGCAGATTGTTTTCCAGTGTATCTGGCACCATTTGATACTCCCACCAAGGCAGGAGGGCTCCAATTTTTCTACATCCTTGACAATACTAAGTCATTGATTAGAGCCATCTGAGTGGGTATGAAGTGGTGCCTCATGACTTCCATTTCCCTAATATCTAATGATGTTGAGCATTTTTTTTTTTTTTTTTTGAGACGGAGTCTTGCTGTGTTGCACAGGCTGGAGTCTTGCTCTGTTGCACAGGCTGGAATGCAGTGGCACAATCTCAGATCACTGCAACCTCCACCTCCCAGGTTCAAGCAATTCTCCTCTGCCTCAGCCTCACAAGTATCTGGGACTACAGGCGCATGCCATCACGCCCAGCTAATTTTCGTATTTTTAGTAGAGATGGGGTTTTACCATGTTGGCCAGGCTGGTCTCCAACTCCTGACTACAGGCGATCCGCCTGCCTCGGCCTCCCGAAGTGCTGGGATTACAGATGAGAGCCACTGCGCCTGGCCCTGTTGAGCATCTTTCAATGTGTTTATTGGAAACTTGTATATATTTTCTGGAGAAATGTCTATTCAAATCCTTCGCTTATTTTTAAAATGGGTTTTCTATTGTTGAATTGTAATTATTTCTTTATGTATTCTTATCACATATATGATTTGCAAGTATTTTTCTCTCATTCTGTAGGCTGGTTTTCCACTCATTTTTTGAGAGAGGGTCTCATTCTGTCACCCAGGCTGAAGTGCAGTGGTGCGTTAACGGTTCACTGAGGCCTCAACATCCCAGGCTCAAGTGATCCTCCCACTTCAGCCTCCCTCCCCAGTAGCTGGGACTACAAGTGTGCACCACCATACTCGGCTATTTTTTGTACAGACGGGGTTTTGCCATGTTGCCCAGGCTGGTCTCAAAGTCTTGAGCTCAAGTGATCTGCCCACCTTGGCCTCCCAACATGCTGGGATTACAGGCATAAACCACAGCGCCTAGTTGTTTTTCCACTCTTCTAAGCGAAAATCTTTATTTTGATGTAGCTCAATTTATCTATCTTTTCTTTGGTTGCTTGTAGTTAAGGTGTCGTATCTAAGAAACCACTGCCTAAACCAAGATCACAAAAATTTATACCTGTTTTAAGAGTTTTATAGTTCTCTTATATTTGTTTTAGGTCTTTCATGTATTTCGGGTGAATTTTTGTATATGGTATGAGGTAGGAGTCCAATTCATTCTTTTGAATGTGAATATGAGGTTGTTCCTGAATCATTTGTTTAAAAGATTATTCTTTTCCCATCAAAGGATTTTGGCACCACTGTTGAAAGTCAATTGCCCATAAATATAATAAGAGTTTATTTCTGGACTCTCAGTTCTATTCCACTTACCTTTATGACTATCCTCATGCTGGTACAACACAGTCTTGATTACTGCAGCTTGTATTCAATTTTGAAGCCCGGAATTGTTAGTCCTCCAACTTTGTTCTTTTTCAAGATAGCTTTGGCTATTCTCACTCATTCTTTAGAATCAGAAGAACTGCCTGATTTTTCAAACCCATACAGCCTTCCTAAATCAGTCCAAAGAGACTGTTCCCCCTCTGATTTCTTGAACCAATGATTTGACAATTCAACTTTGTATAAAGTCAGAAACCCTCAGAGTAGGAAAGAGCCTGAGAATTCTAGTTCATCCTGCCACTTAGCACAGAATTCCCCTCTATACGTTCTCTAACATCAACTCATTTTTCCTAGAATGCTTCAGTGATGTAGACCTTACCATCTTAACATATGACATCATTCTAGTGTTGGAAAGCTTCAAAATTCTTACTCTAGGCCTCCTACAACTCCCAAATCACTCGGGCAATATAAAGAATATCTTCTGCAGCTTACAAAGCTCATCCAAACTCCATTATCTCAGTATCTTTTAATACCCGGTAAGAGGGACATACTTATCATTCTCTTTTAGGAGTAATGAAAGTAAGGCTCAGTGAAGTTAAGCAGGCATATCAAGATAGGAAAATAGAACTTATGAATCCAAATTCAGTATTTTTCTACTATGACTCAAGATCTGAGGGACTAAGAGGTTGACCAAATTTAAGCATATTCTTCAATTTTAGAGTGTAACAAAATGCTTCAATTAGTTCTTTCTTTTTAACCTAAAAGTCATCTTTTTTTTTACAGTATTAACTTGTAAGTACCTTTAAAAACCTAAGTACCTTTAAAAAGTACCTAAGTACTTTTTAACCTAAAAATCATTCAAATCATGTATGAAAAACGGGGCCTATACAATTTCTCCTAATATGGCATCAGGACCACCTTTTGAAGTGATATACTCAGGGCTAAGTGGAGAAAACGGTATTGTTTTCCATACACCACAAATGGAAATAAAAACACTTTTATACACAAATGGTATAAAAACACTTCATATGTATTATGATAGTTTGCCAATCTCTGACCTTTATTCTTTGTCAGACTTCTGTAAGTACTATTGTATTCTTAAGCTTTATACATTTTTTTCACTGCCAACATTTTAAAATTTGTTCTATCATAAGACATAAAGAACATCTTCATGATTAGCATCCTGTTTTCTTCCTTCCTATCTCTGTCAAAACTGCTCAAAACTGCCATGTAATCTTTGCTTCTTGAAATTATCCTTTGGCAACTATGACCCAAAACTAACCAGGATCTAGATGGTTTCTTCCTCGGCTCCTTTGCTGGCTCATCCTCCTGCTTACTCCCTTGTGTTTAAACTATTTTTCAACCTATGACAAGGGCTTCTAAATTTCAGGCATAATACCGACTACTACACACACTTAAATACCTACTATCTATACAATCTCCAAATGAGCTTTTTCAACTTTGAAATCTGATCATTTGAAACTCACTATACCTAAAACTTTGTCTAACCAAATCACCTTATTCAGCTTCCCTGTCTAAAAAGCAACCACACCACTGCCACTATGATAAAACTGAAAGCTTTGACAATACCCTTGTCTTATTTCCTATGTCTGGTAAATAACTAAATCTTGAGATTTCTTATTCATTTATTTACTAAGAGCCTTACTCTGTTGCCCAGGCTGGAGGACGATGGCATGATCCTGGATCACTGTAAATTCCCCCTCCCAGTTCAAGCAATTCTCGTGCCTCAGCCTCCCGAAAAGCTGGGACTACAGGTGTGTGCCACCACGCCCAGCTAATTTTTTTGTATTTTTTGTAGAGATGGGGTTTTCCCTTATTGCCCAAGCTGAGCTTGAACTCCTGAGCTCAGGCAATCCGCCCACCTCAGCCTCCCAAAGTGCTAAGATTACAGACATGAGCTACCATGACCAGTCTTTCCTTATTTCTTTAAAAATATTCCTCATTTCTGCCCTTCCTTAAATGTTTTGATGTAACTAACAAATAAAAATTATTCACTTAAAACATTTATGAATTTATCACAATATGCTAGATGGAACAGAATATTTATGTTGACCACACAGTATATTCTTTCATTACAGCAAAATCTACACAAACAAGCAAATTGGGTCAAGTATCTGCTGGGTATGGAAAAAAAAGCAAGAGGAATTACCTAGCTTATTTAAATTTATTTAATTCTTGAGACCGGGGGTGGGGGATGTGCTCTGGCGCCCACCCAGGCTGGAGTGCAGTGGCACGATCATGGCTCACTGCAGCCTGGAATTCCTGGGCTCAAGCAATCCTCCCACCTCAGCTTCCTGAGTAGTTGTGACTATAGGTATGTGTCACCTCACCTGGCTAATTTTTTGTTGTCCAGGCTAGTCTCAAGCTCCCAGACTCAAGCGATCCTCCTGCCTCAGTCTCTCAAGTAGGTAGGATTATAGGCGCAAGCCACTGTGCTTGGCCTAAATTAAAAATTTAGCAAACTTAAACTAGGATTGGCAGATGTATCTGTTACCATCATGTGAACACCACGTGCAATGAAGTTTCACTGGTAAATCATCCCGTAGGCAGAATGACACACTGCTCTTCATTAGGCTTATCTTTCCAGACATCTTTCCTTATTACCACGTTACTTCCACACACTGCTAGAATACAAACTAATTAAGCAGAGATTTAATAGCCTCCTAAATGGCCTACTCCGCATTCTCTCTCCATACTACAAAAGCCTTCATACAAATTTTCAAGTCTTCCTAGATCATTTTGAGCTACATAATGGGGATACGAAGAGCATGGGCAAGAACATGATAGATACCATGCTGTGAATACAAGCAACTGAATGTGACTACCGCATACATGGGGAAGAAGCGGCAGAACTGCCAGGCAAGATGGACACAGTCTCTCAGATAATGAGTCAAAACACAAAAGAAAGATATTCCCCTCAAACCAGCAGCCCCAGTTTTCTTAGAGAGTAGTATTTAGACTGAACTGGCCAAAATAGTAAAAGAGAACAGTGTAACACTGCCATTCATTTAATGATATTTTCACAATAAACAAATTTTGAATTTGCAACGTTTATGCTGATGATAAAATCACATGTAAGTGTGAAATGGCTCCCCAACATGTTAAATACTTAAAAATATAAAGTATTGTGTTCATAGGGAAAACAGAAAAATATGTATTTTAAGCTGGCAATTTTTTAATACATGCACCTACGATAGCGGTCTGGCCTATAACACTCAAATAACAAAATACATGCTAGCTCATATACAAACCCTGCAGATCTTCTGTTTCAGGTACTGCTTTGTCCACAGATGTACTGTCCAATTGAGAAGATGCTACAGATTCTGATAAAAGTGACTGATTTGATACAGAGCTAGAAAAGCAAAATATTTCATTTTAAAAGGTGATCTCTACACATGAATATCAACTAATGTGGCACAGTAACAGTTCAACATATCTAAGTAGATGATTAAGATGAGAACACAGAGATACTTTTTTTTAAACAACTTAAACATAATCATAGAGCTTTAAAACTAGAGACCAATTTGAACCAGAATTTTACTGCCTTTGTGTATTTCAAGTACCACATGAATCCACTAAATGAAAACTAGCATGATAAAGACATGCTTAAAGAACCCTAAGACAAAGCTGTAAATGATATTCCGGCATAGTAAAACTGAACATCTCCTATCATGAATTGGAAAAAAGGAACCATAGTGTAGGAACTTAATATAGTGGTTCCTAACAGCAGAATAAAAATGAAACCAGTATTGCTGTATGCAGGCTTCCAAATGATGTGACTTCAGAGTTAAAAAGTATATATATACAATATAATATAAACAAATATGAGTACTACACCATGATATTAAACAAAGATAATGTGTGACAAGACTGTATTTTTTTAATACAAGGTAGTAATACTTGCAGAATAAGACTAACATTTCACTTAACATGCTTCCAAAGGACTTCAGGAGTAGGTCAGGATACATTATGAGAAAGAAGACAGAAAAAGATGCCTGAAAAAGAAATCTAAGACTTAAACGATAACCCCCGATACCCCAAGGTAAAAGCAAGAAATCGCTTTTTCTAACTAGTTATAATCAGACAGATAATATTTTAGGCCAGTTAATCTAAAAGTAGCTTTATGCAGTTTTCCTCATTAGAATTAATCAAACACAGAATATACTCTTTAGTTTTTATTGGCATTCGCATTATAATTCAGACACTACATCTTACCTTGGCTGCATAGATGAAGATGTAGAGTCTAATGTTGACTGGGCTTCTGGGACACTGCCATCTGTGCATTGAACTGGTAAAGATTCAGACAGACTACTGACAGAGGTTGCTGTAACAGTACCACATTTCATATTAGTGATTCTATATGCTAAGCAGTCTAAGACCTTATCTAAAAAAATCAAAATCCATTTTCCACAGAACACAGTATAGAGATTTTCTTTTAATATGTAGTATGTTGGTTCATTGTTTTTACTTAAAATTTTTTCAATGGTTTGCCAGTGAAAAATATATTAATTTTAAACCAAGAAGGAAACCATATACAAGTTGTATACATTAATAAACTCCTATGTCTTAGGACTGAATAGCATCCAAGCCCAAATTCTTTAATTCAAAAACATCTTCCAAGTACTACAGTACAAATGAGATATTTAAATAAGATGACATAGCAGTGAAGAATATAGGTTCAGAATTAAAATCTATGCTCAGTACATTAGGTTACACATGTAGATGATGACTTAATTTTGAAACAGTTTATACTCATTTGATCTTAGCCTTAAGAAAATTTGGAGCTTTGGTTAAATGGTTGTAGGTTTTGGCTTGAACAGAAACAGACAAGATCTCATATACAATATTAAATGAACTAATAGCCTACACTTTCATTAACCACAAAAATCTATACATGCAGGCATTAACCTACATGAAAACTATCCTAAATGAATAAACACTTCCTATTTTGCAAAGCTTACACTCAGAATTCTCATGATCCTTCTTATACAACTACTTAAACAAAAGACCAAGAATATCCTTTGACACAAAAAGGCATAAAAAACCCTAATGAACTGGGGTTGAACATCCCTTACTATGAGTTAATCCACAATACTACTCCTTCCTAATGGAGTAAAGCTTCCTCTAAAGTCCACTGAGCTGTGGTTATCAATAATCCACTCTTTCAACAACTACTTGAGCTATAAAAGTCACACCAGATAAAAGAACAAGGTTCTTTTATCACTCTTTTACCTTACTTTCCAAGACACTTGAGGTGTCCCCTCTGTTTTCATAATGTAAAAGAATTCCGCAGCCACAGCAAGTAAGATTATGGTATGAATTTACAGGATTTTCAATGAGTGATGATACTCATTCCTAACTCCTCACTACTGATTATAATCAGAATGTGTAATGAGAAATTTTACTGATATGAATATGGTAATATAAATACAGTTTGAGAGCAGAAAAAGGTATTGGGTATACTGAACTATCTACTTGTATTTCAATTACGAATACAGATGGGTTTTACTAGAATTACTTACCAGGTGGGCTTATTCTACCATTACTACTATTCTGTCTTTGAAGATGTTCTTTATAGCATACTGAACACATGCCATTTGTACGAGGGTTTCCATAAAATCCGCAGCCAGTGGAACAAAGCATAGGCACTTGGCTGTGATTAGTTTCTTGAGCCATGTTCCTCCGTTGCACACCTGAAATTTACATAAAATTAGCAAGGAACACAGACATGTAACTTCCAATCACACATTATCCAAATCTGCTTTATAAGATAAAGAAAAAAACCGACATATACCAAACTACTCGATATAACTGTCCCAAGACATAGGGCTAAAGGAGAGGAAAATATAAAAACCAAAAGGACACATACTGAACTTTTTATCTCCAACCCACTCTACATAAGCAAGTCTGTACAGGCTCAGAAAGTACAAAGAACTCCTAGAGAAAGAAATCTGTTTTGAAGACTCTACCCCCAGAAGGTTATGGATAACTCATTAAGTCTAGCTCAGTTTGGACCCTCCTAGTAATGAGATATACATTATAAGTTTTGATGTATGTTATACTATTTAATTTCTAAGCATTTAAACTTTTGCTGGAAGTTCATGTGCTAATGTGTGTTATTTATTCTGTTTTAAAAGCATTTCACATAGTATCATGTCTGGTGAAGATATGGAGAACTGGGCTGAATGCTTGTAAAAAATGATAACAAATGGGTTCAATCTTTTTGGAAAGCAAGTTGGCAATTCACTTCAAGAACCCTATAAAAGACAAATATTGCTATCTGAGCCAGTCATTCCCCTTTAAGGGTCTTCAACAAAATGACTAGAGTATAATCAGAAAAAGAATAATAAAATATAAGGGATGTGCTTCACAGTGTATTTATAATTTTTATAAACTGATAATAACATTAGAATGTATATAGTTTTTTTTTTTAAGCATGATATATATTAATGACAAAAGTTATGCTGTCATTAAAAATATTTTAGAATACTTTTTGATGGAGGGAAATACTGATAATAAATGAAAAGGCACAATATGAAATGTGTATACAATATTTTGCCAATTAGGAAAAAAGAAGCATCCATTAATCATCAAAAAGGAGAGTAATGAACACATCCCAGGATGGTGAAGCTAGTGTTTTCCCTGATTCATACCTTTACTTATAAAATTCTCTAAAATGAAGATATTCTTGCCTAATTGGTGGAAATTTTTATTTTTTTAAGTATTTCAAACTAAAAAATATTAAAAACTAACAGGACAGAGGCATTAGTCAGACAGGCAAGTGATGCTCGGACTGAGGGAATTGTTTGGGAATCACATGAAAGCAATAATCAATTACAGCAGATGGAAGAACCCCAAGTGCCATTTCTCCCATAAAGCAATTGGTTCTTTGGCATGAATAACACGACAGACGGTACTAACAGGCTCTCTTTCTTATTAAAAAACAGCTATCTCCTAAGTGAAGGTTACTCTGAAATGGGTGTATATGTATTACAGATGAGTTTATTTTCAAAGATCATGACGAATGAGACTAACCAAAGAAGGAAAATGTTTTGCCACTGAAATTTCCTTGAACTGGTAAATACCCAAGGAAAGCATTCACGGTTTACTGTTACCAACTAGATTTATCTTCCCCTACATTATCTGAAGACTGTTGATGGGTAGTGAGGATTTATACATATTTCAGAACCAAGAGCAATAAGGCACTTGACTGAACTACAAAACAAGACAGCAGGCTTAGCATTTCCCTTAAAAAAAAAAAAAAAAAAACAAAAAAAAAAAAAAAAAAGGTCCTAAAACTGTTGAGGATAGTTAAACCTTTAGCCTATGAATACAATTTGGGATTCTGGCAAGCATCTTTCTTATTCCATGATGACGAGTCATTTCAGAATCCCATCTTTGCCACCTTTCTTTTTTATAAACGCTACTTTAGAACCCTCTTTCTTCTACAGCCCTGTAAAATATATATACACACATATATACACACACACACACACACATATCAAATAAAAAAATAACAATGATAGTATAGAAATGCTAATGTCAAACATTTTTGAGTTTTTTCCCTTTTTTGCCTATTTTGTGACGAATACTGGTCTGCAGCTTTCTCTTTTATGTTTATCTGATCTTGGTATCAGAGTAATTGCTCAAGGTCATGTAGCTAATAAGTGATGGAGGCCAGGCATGGTGGCTCACACTTGTAAGTCCAGCACTTTGGGAGGCCGAGGTGGGCGGATCACGAAGTCAGGAGATTGAGACTATCCTGGCTAACACAGTGAAACTCCGTCTCTGCTAAAACTACAAAAAAATTAGCCAGGTGTGGTGGCGTGTGCCTGTAGTCCCAGCTGCTCGGGAGGCTGAGGCAGGAGAATCACTAGAACCCGGGAGGCGGAGGTTGCAGTGAGCAGGGGTCATACCACTACAACCCAGCCTGGGCAACAGAGCAAGACTCCGTCCATAAATAAATAAATAAATAAATAAATAAGTGATGGAGCTGGGATTATACACACACACACAAAACACCTGGATTGAATCCCAGCTCCATCACTTATTAAGTCATCAATGATTCTCAAAGTATGGTTCACATACTCACATAGAGATCAAAATTGTTTTCATAATACTAGTGAGTTATTTGCCTTTTTCACCATATGGACATGAGCACAAATGCTGCTATAGCAATTGTGGGGGAAAAAAAAAACACCTGAAGCCTTATCAAGGAGACAAATCAAAGCAGTGGCACCCAACTGTAGTAGTAGTCAATTCTTCATCACCATGCTCTCACAGTAAAAATTATTAATTTTACTAAATCTTGACCCTGAATACACATCTTATTAACATTTTATGTGACAAACTGGGAAGCATGCATGAAGCACTCCTGTTGTGTAAAGAAGTATGAAGACTGAAGAAAAAGCACTGTGCAATTGTTTGAGTTGTGAGCTGACTGAATTGCCTTTTTCATGGAACATGTTTTTTATTTGAAAGAATGACTAATAAACTGGTTATTAAGACTTGAGTATTCAGCAGACATTTTTGAAAATGAACAAAGTGCACTCATAACTTCAAACATCTAATAGTATTTGTCATTAAAGACAACAGTCAAGTGAAAAAAACCTTGACAAGCATCTCCAATATTCTGAGAGTTTCTGATAAGATTCCTGGTGATATTAATGAAATGTGATTAGTTGATATGGTATCAATATTTGAAATATCATCATAAGACAGTGAATCAGTATTTTCTAAGCAACCAGTGTTGGTTGCTTAGCAAGAAATAGTAAGAAATTACTCATGAACAGAAGATCCATTCAAAGTGAAAGGCCATGAATTTTAATGTAACAGGACAAAAAGTTTTATATCGGGGTGTCCAATCGTTTGGCTTCCCTGGGCCACAGTGGAAGAAGAATTGTCTTAGGCCACACATAAAGTACACTAATACTAACGAAAGTGGATGAGCTAAAATAGATAAATAAATAAATTAAATAAATAAATAAATAACGTTTTAAGAAAGTTTATGAATTTGTGTTGGGGCCACAAATTGAACAAGCTTGTTTTGCATGGTTTCAATTTCGCACTGCAGCTATCCTTTAAGAAACTATCAATCGTCAAGTTTTGGTGTAATATTAAAGAAATCTGAAAATGTTATTAAAATATTCTTTCCAAATACATGAGCCCAGATTTTCTTTGTAACACTGTTAACAGATTGAATGCCAAAGCAATTACTAGAATCTTGCTATTAAGGCAGACTTTTTAAAAAAATCTGCAAAAATGTGTTAACAATGCCACTCTTCTCATTAACAAGTGTGGGGGAGAGGAAAGTGGTTATTTTTCATAAAATATTTTAAAATAAACTAGTACTTACAATATTTTCTCAGCTTTAATTTTTTTTTTTTTTGAGACGGGGTCTCACTCTGTCGCCCAGGCTGGAGTGCAGTGGCCGGATCTCAGCTCACTGCAAGCTCCGCCTCCCGGGTTTACGCCATTCTCCTGCCTCAGCCTCCCGAGTAGCTGGGACTACAGGCGCCCACCACCTCGCCCGGCTAGTTTTTTGTATTTTTTAGCAGAGAGGGGGTTTCACTGTGTTAGCCAGGATGGTCTTGATCTCCTGACCTCGTGATCCACCCATCTCGGCCTCCCAAAGTGCTGGGATTACAGGCTTGAGCCACCGCGCCCGGCCCTCCGCTTTAATTTTTAATATGATTTATTTAACTAGATATAACTCTCATACACAAAAGCTCTTCGGGATATTGACACCAATTTTTTGAGAATCCACTGCTTATAAAACATGCACTCTCAGTATAGACAGTTTGCCCCTCAAGGGGGAAAACACTGATTTTTGGAGGAAAGGGTCACAAAAACCCTTACTCTAGTATAAAACACAGATATACATAAAATACACAAACAGATGTGCAATATCTCTCTGGAGTTAAAATCTCTGGAGGTGGGGGCCACTTAGGAAAAAAAAAAAAAAAAAACCTAAAAAGGTTCCTTAGGGAAAAAAGAGAGAAAAAAGACTGAGGAACTCAGGTTTAAACCACCAACTACGCTACACCGCCTATTAACAATATTAAAGTACAAGAGAGGAATTAAAGGAACTTTCCCAATGATAATGATAAATACATGGCTAGCAACAAAACTGTAGAAGAGATAAATACCGTATTTCCATAAAAACTCAAGTAAAAAGTCATAGATGAAAGTACAATATGACCACTAAGCTTTTCATTACAATTACTTCAAAACATTAAGATTAAAGTTTGAAAACATGTAACTACCAATTTTCCCAAGTCAAACTGCCTGCACGGCATCAAATTAACAATGATACTCATAACTCAAGAGGCACAAAGGGATTCTCACAGAATTCTTTAAAAAAATAAGAATCAACCTTATTCATTAATCGGTTAGGCCGTAAAATGCACCTTTACATGAAGAGTCAGAAAGACTGAAAAAGACGAAAAACCATAAAAGAGTAATTTAGTTTATCTGAATGTGTAACGGCATAGATGGGGTAGCTATGAAGAAATTGGAAGTCTTGCCTCCCTCCCTTTGCTACTATACCTTTTTGGGGCAATCAGTCTGGCATTCAAATGGTCAGAGAGGAAAAGGGATAAGGGGAGAAAAGGCAGAACAATTCCTTAACTGCTGCATTGTGGAATTATAAAACCACAAATCCAGAGGCAGGGAGTAAGATCACTCTACCAGA